TTAAATTAATTATTTGACTTTCTTGTTGCATCAAAAGTTACATACGCACTTTCCACCGACAACGAGGCAGCTGGTTACCTGAGCTTTCAGCATAACGACTGTCCCTGTGGTTGTTTGTCTCCGTCTCTTTCGATGGAAAACTTTCCACATGCTTTGGATCCGATTGTCTTTTACGCCTCTTTCTCTACCATCAACTATCTAAGAGGACATTCGGCTCGACAGCATTTTAAATTATAAGGTATTCCCCCCTCTTTTCTGCATGCCTTCATGGTGTAACGGTAGCACACTCGGCGCGTATTCGAGAGGTCCAAGTTTGAGTCCCGGCGAGGGCATTCTTCATTGTTCGTGTTTCCTAATTCAAAAATCCTAATGACTGTACGAAATATGAAGTTAGGCACTTATAAACAGTCATTCTCTTGCCAGGGATTTGGCACCTGGCTTTCCAACGATCGTTTTAACAGGGCGGCTTACATACGCACTAAATCGTTGCCTCAGTTAGAAAAATCGTTATGCAAATATGTAACTAATCTTAAGTAAAACAAAATTTACTTTTTTTTTCCCATTTTGCCTACTTAAAAAAAAAAAAAAAAAAAAAAAAAAAAAAAAAAAAAAAAACCTTTTTGTGTGATATTTAAGGATAATTTAATCTTCTCCCAGTAAAACTTTTTTCTTTAAAGAAGTATGCTTGATTAAATAATATTTTACTTGCAGAAAAATTAGAAAAGAACTTTAAAAGAAAAATCTTTGCGACTGACTTCACTCCTCTAGAAAGTAATTCTTTTCTTAAATGACTGCAATGGAATTTCGTGATATTCCGATCTTGTAGGTTTTATAGCGCACTAGTACTTATGTTTTCTTTTTAAACATGAATTATAAATTTAAAGATGTTTAAGTGTAGAAGATACTTAAATATTAATGAAATAAGATTTGCATCTGATGTTGACAGTAATGAGAGAAATAAAAAGTAACTATTTTATATCGCTAAGTGATAAAGAGCTTGTAACTTCTCCCTTTCCGTTCTCCCGCCAGAATGCAAATCCCGTTCCCGTGTATTGAAGGTTAGGGTTTTCAGACTGCCCCTCGTGGTCACGTTACTAGGTTTCTGTTACATTGTTTAGATATAAGAGTTTATTTGGATGTAAGAGTTTCTGAATATAAGAGTTCTTGTCGGCCTGGCATTATAATTGCCGATATTTGAAATCCCCGCCGGTGAAGTTTTTGGCCAATTTCGCGTTCAGTTGCTTTATGTAGCTTTTGGCTACTAGTTATTTAAATTGAAGGTTTAGATTTGACTTACTAGATATTCCCGCCATGAGTGCTGGCGGAGTTGTAAGTTGCCGAGTACGAGAAGGTTCATCTTATTTAGTTTGAATAAAGGATCTTTCACACCCTTCCTAAGTTTCTGTGGTTACGTGTGAAACTCTTTTATCTGATATTTATTGTAGTAGCGATAATGATGAAAATAATGGTTAAGTAAGTGAAGACAATGCAGCAAATTCAAAAGAAAATAAAAGAATATAAGATTTACTAAACCAAATGTCAGAGACATTTTGGAAGCAAATGAAGTTTCCTCATACATTAAACGATAACACTATAATTGAGGAAATTGTTAAATAAACTTTATAAATCTCTGTAATATGTATGTTCAGTATACTGTACAAAATACTTTTATAGAAAATTTGTATCGATATATATATATTTGTCATTTCGTAGTAAATTTAATTTTTCGGGTTTTATGTATGAAAAAAAAAAACTTTAAGGAAAATAGTTGAATTAATAAATAAAAATAGCTTGCAATAAGACAAATAATAAGGAAATATGCTGTGTAATAAAAACTTGACTATGCTGTTAAAAAAAAAGTATTTTTGTGGCCACACTTGGTCCCAGTTATGACATGTTAAGAGGCTTTCTTTAGCTGAATACGAAACTTTAGCAGAACCTGTGAGGGTCATTTTCTTAAAGGGAGAGATGCCGTCTTAGAGAGCATTCCAATAGAACTGACTCGTATTCATGTTAGACAGGGAGGGAATGACGGAAACATCCATACAGCCAGGCCTTTCACCAGGATTTGAGCAAGGTTCTAATTGCCACTTCAACTGCCATATCCTGGTAGGCTTCTGGTAGGCAGGTACTACGAAGGCTCGGGTTCTAGGCAAAGTAAAGTATTTCATACAAATAAATTAATTATCCACAAAGAAAATACAATCTACAGTCTTATTATAACCAAATTAATTTTCCAATAAGTCATACGCAAAGACCCCGTTCAGTCGAATTATGCATCTCTTATTTTGAAAACGAAAGGCTAATGATAGGAATTAGTATTCCTATACCGTATAGTCCAGCGTAAAACGCGCACTTTTAATACAAAAAATTACATCGAAATTTACGGGTATAAACGATTTTAATATGAGGAAAAGATGAGCATACAAAAATTTGATTTCTACATGTACCTAAATGCTATTACTGGCGATTTTGTAGGACCCAATTCGCAACACTTTCTACTAGGATTAAGCCATTTTGTTACCCCTTTTTGCAGCCCATTCATTATTTGGCATTTCATTTCTTCCACTCAGATATGGAGCTTTCACCAACATTAAACATCCTTGCAGCAGCATGATTTCCATTTTTTCACAAATTGAATGACTTTGCATTTGAAACCAGCACTCTGTTTGTTTCGTTTGGTAGGAGCCAAATTGACTACTAAAAGGAACTCTAGATCAACCGTATTTCAGCTAAAGCAAATGCGATTTAATAAAGCCTTCGATGTTCACTTCAAAATCACGGCTTCAAATGGCTACGGAAAGAGAACATCTGACTCCTAATTCCGGGAGTTCATTCGGATCAGAAGTAGATTCGTCTTCCAAATTATTTCCCTCCTTTGTCCAAACCCTAGAATAACATTCTTGTTCACACCTGCACTGAATGTAACCCATTGTCTTTGCAGAATTATTTACTCCCTCGAGCATCTTCCCCCACCACATACTCTTCCCGTTATCGCTTGTCGGTTTAGTATACAATGCTGAAAAGCCTGCGAAAAATCTTCGAATGAACGACTTCAAAAGATAATAGCATCAAAGGTGCGCGCTATACGGGAAAATATATAAAAATAAAACCTTAGTATAGAAAAATTGTTTAAAATGACAGATGCGCGTTATACACATGTGCGCGTTATACGGCGGAATATACGGTATATTGAATTCTACTTTGGCTATACGGAAATGCATGTGATTATTAGACACATTTGTTGTCCTTTTCGAAACTGCTAAATTAGGTAAATGCATATAATTATTTCTATCGTAATCGTGGATTCCAATTTTTTCCTGATAAAGAAAGTTATAAATAATTTACTTTCGTTCAAAATAAAATTTCGTGATTGTTAAATTTAACCGAACACTGAAAAACAGATGAACCGAAAGAAAAAGAACGGTGTCACAATGGGTTCGTAATGAGTCCGTAACCGACTAAAACTATTAAAAAAAATTCCATTTGGTTTAGCAATCGATAACAATCAAGCAGCGTTTTAATTTTAGTTAAATAAATATTTAGATGCTTTTAGATATGTTTTCCGGTTGAATGGATTGAAATTTTTTTTAAAGAGTGTGTAACTGTGTTGAAACGAACCAAAGCGGAACTAAATGCCGTCATGTCAGGAAATCTGAAATAAGCCTGAATCAAAGTTTCAAGATCAAGTTCCTGACTTCAATACGCTGAAAAAATATACAAGATAATTAATTAGCCGTCGGCATTTTTTCTATTGCATTAGGAGCGAAAAAGTCTACTGCTTATTTGGCATTTTTTTTTTTTTGTTTGTTTGTTTGTTTGTTTGTTTGGTTTTTCCTTTCTTTCTTTTTCTTTTTTCTTTCCTTCCTTTCTTTTTAGCCCAAAGGACGTTAGCCCAAAAGGGCTAATAATTTCGTTATGGCATTTTCAGTTGAAAACTTTAAATGTCAGTTCACTTTTCAAACTGTTGCCACCAAATATTACAGCCTTGTATTATATTTAAAGAAATTAGACAATGAAGAATCTGCATAAATGTATGTATGTTTCTCGCTCTGTGATAAAACGACGGTGTCTAGAGCCATCCAATTTTGAATAACGTACGTTTCCACTTGAATATATGCGTTTGGAAGCCCAAATTTGGAATTTGTTTTATTATCTATTTCATATTTTGTAAAACTTTAACGAATTTTTTGATTAACAAACTCGACGATTTTAAAGCGAGCAATGGCAACACTGTACGGAAAAAAAAATATTTTTATCTCCAGCGCGAAACTGTGTATCGGAAATTCTAAAGATACGCTCATTTTAAAATTATTTTGAGATATTGTTGTTGAGTTGAATTTTGTGGTTTAAGTGCAAAGAATAGGATATTTAATAAATAAAGGTAACACACAAAACGTTAAAAAAAAACACCCTTTTGGGCGTAATGTAAAATCTGAAAGCATTCAGATATGGTGTGTGTGTATTTACTTTTTTTTCTTTCCTTTCCTTTTCCCCCAAGAGCTATTTTTCCTTTAGTTTTTATACAAGGGGTGACCACAAAAATAATTTTGATGGTTGGTAAATTTTGCTCTTTTTGAAAGCTTAGCTGTTCAACACTTTTTGACGCAATCATTACCATTTCCGAGCAGCTGTTCAGCTGTTCCTGATGACACCTTTCCTATTCTTAGCTTTTCTTACATAGAAGTCTCCACTTTCGGGAATATCCGAGAAAATCTGCTGGTGCCAGACTGGGAAAATTAGAGTGAAGCTTTAACCATTTCGATTTCTGAAGCTCCAATAGCCAAAATGCGTGAGTTTTACAATCCATGGGGCAGTGTTTTGAAGAAATTTATCGACTAAACGATAGTTGTTTTGGGAAATGTTAGAAAATTAGTTTTCAAAGGATATATTATTTGCATATAATATTTGAGTACTTGAATTATTTTCTCGAGTTAACTGAACTTAACTTTCTCACATGTTCTTGTTGCAGAATACTAAATGCTTGGTTTCTTTTTCAGAATCGGACTGAACGGTTTCGAAAATCCAATGCGGGACCCTAAGACTGAAGATGCCAAAAGACACATCGGTCACGTAAGTACCTTATTCTTCTCTATCGGATTAGCAATAACGAATTTATAAATAACTGTACTAAATATTAGGGTAAAATACTGTTGCGAGCTACTGGTTCATGGAAATCTTTTCAATAACTACGCCAAATGAAAAGGAAGAAATTGACAATAATTTATTGTAAAAAATAACGACTCATAGCAAAGCAAACAGCTGTAAATATCTCAAAGAGAACACAAAGATGATAGAGAAAATTGACTTTAACACAAGAACTTCATAACACCTTAACACGGAAAGGAGGGAGAAAATACGTTATATAGCCCCCTTTTAAAGGGCAGTTGGGGACGATGGGACTCGTTCGCCAAATCCTGAAGGCTTTTTTATGTTGGAGATGTGAAAAATGTCCAATGCTGTCGCCGGGATTCGATTCCGGACCTGTGTAACCAGAAGCACACTCGAAGCGTATTCGGGCGTCACCATCGAGATAGATCTCGATGTGTACCTGAATACTCTTTGATTTGAGTGTGCTTCTGGTTACACCACGAAGGCATGCGGAAATAAGGGAGAAAAGGCCGTATAAGTTAAATAGGAAATCTATCCAGAATAATGGTAAAATGAATCAGATAATTAATATATCATCAAATTCTTATTTATAGTAGTGTGCCAAGCTGGCTTCTCTTATCACCAATAAGAAAATGAGTCAAAATATATCGCAAAGCCGTATAAAAACCAAAATATATCGAGGTACGTAGTAAGTGAGATTAGAAACATCTTTTGTTAACTACAGCAGTACTGCAAATATTCATTAAGATTTATCAGTTGGATGTATTGTTGCATTATTAAATATTACATCAATTAGACATATCACTAAAAAGTAAAATAAGCGTGTAAAGAAGTAAAATATATAATTTTTAATGTTTTTAATGCTGTTAATTGTGTTAAAAAATGGCAGTATAATTTAAAAAGTAAAGATCTAATGCAAACGCCTAATAGTAACACTCTGAGAATTGGATCTTTGCCTAAACTCAATTAAGATCTTATATTTCGTGCAATGCAACACTTGCTAGGTTGAATGAATAATAAATGCGCCTGGTTAGAGTTCTGTTAAGTAACAGTAACTGCCTCAAATTTTTGAAAGACATATAGGGTTTCTCTCATTAGTTAACCCAAATTATTAATCCCTTCTAATACAGTCAAGCAAATTATCGCTCCTTCTGTGAAATTAACTACTGCAGTAGGAGAAAACTTAAACAACTTTATTTATTAAAAGTTTTCAACTAAAAATATGCAAGATTTGTATTTACAATCTAAATCTTTGTAGCTTGCGAGATATCAGTAGTAGAGAGGTGACTTTAAAATTTAAATTAATTCAGTACTGGTGACTCGACAGTTTAAACAGTCTAACAAGCGCTGGCTCAAATTATTACGAGTGCGATTACTTCGGCTAGCAAGATGGCTAAAGCCGGATAACTAAGTAGAGAGCTGGGCGAGAGAAAAGTACTACGGCGAGTGTCCTTGCTAAAAGCTCTCTGTCTAGCCTTTCAAAACCTCTGTCGTGAATTCTCATTTGTGAGAGCTAACGAAATGTAACGGTAAAGTGGCTTATAAAAGAGGTTAATTAACATAAAATATACTCTAGAGACACTTCTAACGTCAGAATTATCTATCAAAAACAGAAGCAACTCGAATACATTTAAATGTTGAAAAACCCAGAATACAGATCTAAGTGGCATCAAATACAAACTGAGAACTGACTGAAGAAGCAAAAGTTTGAAAAATAGAAACTTACCCAAAAGATACACTTTGCAAACGAATAAGTTGGGAAAAAATTCCAGGAGAAACTTTAATAAAATGTATATCTATAATGACAGAGAGAGAAATTTTATCAGGCAGCAAAGGATTTTGCATAAAATATTCATTTTCTCCTGCCTTGTATCGGGTAATGTTTTTGTTTAAATGGCATAAATGTATTTTTATGATATGTATTATTAATATTTTTTGCATAAACCCCAAAAAAAGAAAAGAAAAGAAAAAAAGGGAAAAAGTAAAAGAAAGAAAAAAAACTTTGTCGCAACACTCTTGCATAGTATCGCATATCGCCACTAAGTGAAGGAAAAAAGAGGAAAAATATCTTTGAAGCAAAAATCTTTATAAATCTTTTCTTCTCGCAAACAGACAGTACCCTCCCTCTTTCTCTACCTATGCTTAAGAACATCTCTTATTATATGACATTTCACTATAAAATACGTGATTTTGTAAACTAAAAAAAATTCTGTTAAGACAAAAAAAAAAAAAAAAAATTAAATCTGAAAGTTTTCATATTACGTTCAAAGGGTTTTTTTCAGCGTTTTGTGTGTTACCTTTATTTATTAAATATCGGGTTCTTTGCACTTAAACCACAAAATTCAATTCAACAGCAATATCACTAAATAATTTTAAAAGAGCATAGCTTAAGAATTTCCGACACACATTCTCGCGCGCTGGACCCCGTACAGTGTTGCCATTGCTCGATTTGAAATCGTTGAGTGTTCTAACCAAAAATTCGCTAAAGTTATACAGAATATGAAATAGATAATAAAACAAATTCAAATTAGAGCTTCCACATGCCCATATTCGGGTGGGGCAGTACCTTATTTAAAATCGGATGGCTCTAGGTGCCGTTGTTTTATCATAGTGCGAGAAACATATATACATTTATGCAGACTCTTCATCATTTAATTTCTTTAAATATAACACAGGGTGATAATATTTGGTGGCAACCATTTAAAAAGTGATACAGTTTTCAACGCAAAATGCCAAAACGAAATTAATAGCCCTTCTGGGCTAAAAACGTTATTAAAATGCAGAATTAAGCAAACATTTAAATGCATGTGTTGTTATGATTAATATCTTACGTCATTAAAAGATTTGATGCTTTTAAATCTATACATGAGAATAACGCAATATTTATTCAACAGTTCAAAAAATAGAATAACTAATGTCTTATGTGTGTGTGTGTATGTCATTATGGCAAAGCCTCGAGGGCTATCTGCCTAAGAGGAGGGATGCCTTCGTGGAGGACTTTCTAAGGGAAACTGGCTCGTATACACGTTACACATGGGGAAAACGCCCATGCAGCCAGCCCGTTCGCGGGATTCGAACCTCGGACCGAACTGCCAGTGTTCAGCGACTTTTACCGCTCGGCCGCTGGTGGGCCCCTAATGTCTTATGAATTGCAATAAATAATTCTACTTATACGAAATTAGTGTGATTTGCATTTTGAGCAAATTTCATTTTATTTTTGTTTTTTAATGAAAAACTGGAATTTGCGTGCCTGACGTTGACACCCTACGACTGGATTTCAATGAAAGTAGCATAATTTAATTTGACAGTACTTAATTTAAAAAAAAAAAAACTGCACACCATATTAAAATTAATCTTTTACTTTCTGTGTTGAAAGCGATTGTTGCGACTGATAGTTCAACCCGAGTACAGTCACCCGCGTGGGTTCGAACCCCTGCCCACGTGGACGGTAGGTTGCCGCCACCTACCTTACAAGGACAGAGTTCTTTCTCTTCCTAGAATAAAGATTGAGGCAGCGCTAGCGGGTGATGGGTAGGGCATTAATGATAGTTTGTTATCTGAACTGCAGATTCTCACGGGTCAGTCGTCCGTGGGATATGAAGACCTCCAGCAAAATCGTTTTGCGTTTCATCTTTCGATTTATTGGTATCTTATTGCTATTAAGATAGAACCGAGATAATGGCAACTGTAATTGATTCGGTGCAGCTTGTTTTGAATGAAGATTTCACGGCAAAAGAAATTTTTCTGTTAATTTGCTTTAAATATTTATTTTGGGGCTAGTTTTTAAAAAAATACTTAATTTATTTTTCTCCACTTATATGATTCCCACAAAAGAACGTAAAGAATTATAAGTGATATGTGCTACGGATTTAGATTTAATCCTAAAGGTTAATTTCATGATATAGAAATTTTTATCAGGTGCACCAGAATTGGAGGCGAAGGAGGTTAGATATCAACATTCCCTAAGCTGAGATTTCTTTAGTAATCTTTTTCAATGTCAGTAATTTGGTATGATTGTGTAAACTTCGGAAAGTGTGGTATATATCAACTATTAAATTCAATGGAACGTGAATATAATAAGGCTAATTTGAAATGCGTAATAGCGCCGCACAATGGGCTTCATTTAAACCAAATTTAAGGAATACGCTTTAATAAGCAGGTTATTAAAAGCCAGTAGTATTTTCAAATTACCTTTGCAAACAATTGAGCACTAAATAACGCCAAGATCAAAAATAAAATAATTCGCGTAAAAAATCTCAGAATGACATTTTGAATACATGCCTAACTATGCTTATGACTTGGAAAGCTTAAAATGTAATGCAAGATAAGGAGAATACGATATAAGTGTTCACATGAAATAAAAATTTACGGAAATGGATTTTCAGGTATAAGCTAGAAATTGACACGTTTATATTATATATATCAGCAATGTGTATTATCATCCCCCTATAAAAACAAAAAATATAGCAGCATACAAGCCATAACAATTTCGCAGTCAATAATATTGAATTCTAAATTTCTTTAACTTTCCGGTAGGCCCGTTAAAAGACCCACAAGAATCATCAGTGACCCGCGGCCTGCAGTTGGCCATTTCTGATTTAACTGTGGAAAGAAAAAGATACTCACGGATTTAAGAAAAAAAAAAAAAAAACTAACTCTCCCCGTTAGATCGGCGAGATCAGAAATTGTGTGAAGGTAATCCACCTGACGAAAACCTGATCTGATGGTGTTTAAAAAACAAAATCAAAGTGAATTAGATCAACAAATGGTCCGACAGAACCATTAAAATGAGAACTAGTGCTGCCATCTGTATTATATTTCAAAAACCAAATTTTGCAATTTCGAATTATAACGTTCATTCTGCCTACTATCTTATCTGAAATATGGCCCTATAAAATGCGCGATGATTAGATTACGTTGCTCTGCTTTCTCTTAGTTTTAACATTTTTACTATTATTCATAAATTACACAGTCTTTATTTATAAGTATAAAAATTCTCCACTTCTGTATATCAACCCATTAAAGAAATCATAGTTTGTCTGACTGTTGCCAACGCATTTTTGAAAAATATACTGTAATTGAGAATAATCAGTTTGTCGATCTCTAGCAAGAGGTCAGTAGCTTCGCTTGCTGATGAGACTTAATGACTGCGGTACAAAGTTATTACAAAAGGCAACAGATTGAGAGAGTTGGAAAGCGATGTTAGCATCGTCTGCCCACGCGACTTGGTTATATTACACAATGCAAAATAAGAAGAAAATAAAAAATTGCATCCGTATTCTTGTCCCTTTTTATTTTTATCTCTCATTATCTCACTGAGAGGGGGAGCTGTTTGATTGAGGTTTTGATTGAGCTGTTTGACTGAGAGGGGGAGCTGTGAGAAGGTGGGTTCGTTTTACTACCGTCCTTCTGGAGGTCAAAGAATCCGCGTCCACTTCACCTCAAGAGAGGATCACTGTCTCTTAATTCGTTTTTTATCACATGTCTTTATTTAAGGTAGCACGATGCCAAATGCATTTTTTACACTCTTTCCTAAGTCTAGGTAGTGTCAGTCAGTTAACAAACAAATTATTAGATTTCTGGCTCTCCAATATTTTTTAACAGTGTATCTGAATTAGTGCAGAACACTCGAATAAATTCGTCGTCCTTGGTTGTTTAGAAATGACAAGAAGAGGAATTGTTCAGTCCATATCAATGAAAGTAAAACGAGTAGGTAATTGTGGTCCACATCTAGGTAATCATGACAGGTCAAAAGTCTGAATTTTGCGATAATTTTGGATTAGATAAAGATCTGAGTAATTTTGAGTTAAAGATTAGTTGGACCTATGTGAATAATTCACACATAAATTCTTTAGTCTACATTTTGTTTAGTTCGTCTAACCTATCTTATTATTATATTGTTATCATTGAGTTCCTTTCGTGCCCTTTTTAACGTTTGTGGGGAAAGGTTCTCTGAAATTCTTTACCTAAATAAAGAAGAAAGAACATTTTACTATAAAAATAATACGTATGTTTATTAATCGAGAGTTTCCTCACTTGATGCTTGAACTAGACCATCATGAACCTTGATTGTTAAAATTGTTCCATTAAAGATATACATTTATAAAAAAAAAAAAAAACTTTTTTCTTTGGAAAAAAACTGTATAACAAATTTCTTCTCTTAACACTAAATCTATATCGCACTTCAAACTTTTATTCTATGGATTTATGCATTCCAAATTTAATCGCTAGAAAAGGAACGTAAATCATTATGACAATACCCTTGGGGAAATAGCACAATGTAATTAATATTTGCAGTAACCAACAAGAAATTGTATACCAATACATTTTTCGCCAGATTTCTTTGTGTACATAAGAGAAAGAGACTTTTGCTGCAGGAATAATCTATATGATATACAAGAGTTGAAGGAAATGTGGCTTGTGTTGTTAAAATTTGATTTTGGAATTTCCTATCCCAAGTTTAAATTTGAATCTTATATATACTTATTATACAGGATGTGAAAAGTGTTTATTGCTCAGAAACAACGAAATTCGTATGAATTATATCGGAATAAATTGTCAGTTTAAATCATTTTGAGGTTCATTATTTATAGCTATTACATTATTTCCTAATTATTTTAAATTAAACAGATTACAGGGAAAAAAAATCCTGATCCCACTGGTTCTGGTTCTTTCAAAAGAGAACGATTTCTCGTCGAATGAGCGATTATTTTGTGAGTATCAGGAAATTTCATCATATCCGATAATCAAAATCGCTAAATCTACTTTGTATTGCATTTTAGAAAACTGTATAAATGATCTCCGTCATATAATAAAACTTATCCTTTGATTGATCTCTTTTCTTGAAGTGAGTCTAAGCAATTCTCACAATCAGAACCATTTAAATTCAAATTCTCATCATTGAACGCAATTTTGTTCTATTCCTGGCCCATGGCTATATTAAATTATTTTCTTTATGATGATCCAAGGTGAATCAAGTCCTTTTTCTTCGCATTAAGAATAGCTACATTAAGTCCTTTTCTTTATTCTGAATCCATGGGTGAATTAAATCCTTCTCTTCTTTTTAAATTTTGCTTTTATTTAAAAGTCCTTTTTTCTATGATTTTTGATCAGATGGAAGCAGTATTTCATTTTCTGACGAAGCGTGTTCTTACAGTCTTTCAAACTACAGTGCAATGTAAACGTAAAACCCTTATACCTGGAGAAGACGGAACTTGAAAATTATTTGCAATTAAGTCGTTTATTTGGCAGTAAGTCTCCCTCGTTTGACTTCAGCAGTGAAATGCGGTCCTTATTATTATTTGTCGTATAATCTCTTCAAATTTAAGTAATGAATTTTAAATAAATTTAAAGAAAAGCATCGATTTACATTTCTTCCATAGCTGAAGCTAAATTAAACAGCAAGGTGAGAAACAATCTTAATCAAAGATATTTCTAGAAAGTTTTCTTAACTAAGGTAATATTATAGCACATTCTCTAAAAAACACAAATATAAATTATTAACTTTCTTTAATTTACTTTTACTTGACGTGTAAAAACCATTTCAACTCCAGAAGATGTTTTTGAACTTCAGAACTTCAGATGGGCAATCGATTTCATGATTTAAACTATAATAAAACTCTAATTATCCGAGGTATTGTGGACTTGCAATACCTCGGAAATTTGAAATCCAGTTGAAATGAAAGACAGCAACCAGCTCAGATAAAAATTTCAGGGCACAAAAATAATTTAAATGATATGCTAGCATTTTAACCCCACCTCACATCGGAGAATTTAGTTTTCCATATAAACAAAGAAAATTGATACTTATATTTTTGTTCTTATGTTATGTACTTATGTATTTGTATTCACACGTATGTTTTTGTTCATCATATATTATAAAGCTCATATATATAATCAATCGTTTTAGATATAAAAATGTACATTATTGCAGTAGTATTTAATTATGAAATGTTTATCTCGCATTAAAACTACAGATCGATTTTTCCTGTAATGTCTTCTGTTGCCATAACATAAAAAAGTAGATGGCTATAGCATCATATTAACTTCATATTATAGCTATATATTTAGTATTCAATGATATTGTTCTTGTGACATTAATTTGCAGTGAACTCGGTACCATAGCCATTAAAAAATGTTAATGTGTTATGAGAAATTTCACACAAGTTAATGCTTTAAATAATGCCATGATTCAGTTGATCGACATTGAACTCTATTTACAAATTAAACAACAAAAAGTATAGAAAATGTTAACTAATTCCAAGACTTGAATAAAATTAGTTTTTTTATATTCATCAATTCAAGCCAAATATTTAACATATAAGCATAAAAGGCTAACTGCATTCCCCCTCTGAAATTAAGAAAGCCCCTCCAGAGCAAGATTCTCTTGGTTGAATCCCTGGAAGTCCTGTGGATTGTGATGCTGCCATCTATTGGCAATAATATTAACTATTTTGAACAAATAGTGCTGCCATCTGTTAGATGTGTGAGTGTTTACTATAAAGCTGTTGTCAAATTGCAGTTTAAAACACACCACCGCAGATAACTTGAAATCAATTTACGCCAAAACTTGAAGAATGTAATAAATAAATTTCATATTTGCAATAAATTTAATTAATTATTTGCTTATATTTTATAGGGAGTGAAAATTAAAATGGATGATGCTGGAAACATCATCATTAAACGGGCTAGCAAAAACGGAGTTTTTGTGAAGGATGTCAATGGTCCTGAAGAGAGCTGTCTTTCATCAGATATTCAACGGCTACAGGGACAACTAGAATTAGAAAAGCCTGTGAAAGTAAGAAGGATTCCAAATTATTTTAAATGACTATTACAATGTTCATTTCTGAAACATTTTACATGAAATTTTATTTTTGTCTTATTTTTATACGAGAACTTAAGTATTTATATTGAATAAATATCTATTAATATGCATCATCAAAATTATCGAACTTAAAAAAGCGTAATTAATTATTATTAATTAAACATGCGCTGAAAATAAAATTTTACATACTAATTGACATAAATTAAATAATTTTATTTTAACTATTACTGTTATATACTTGTCTACGCAGATAAAAAGATGAAATAAGAATTAAAATTTTAAGTATGCATCGTTCCATTTTTAAGATCTCATTTAGAAAACGCGGTTAATCATTTTATACGCTTTAAGTGATTACGGTAATTAAAAGGTATAATTATAGTTCATCTTCCAGTAAGCACGAACAAATCTGAATTATGGAAAAAAAATCATCGAAGTTAATGAAAACTATTGCTAAATCTTTATTTAATGCAGGTTTGCTAATCACTTCAAAAATCCTGCAAGTAAGAGAAATTAGGGAAAATCAAAATCTGATCGAAATTACTGAAAATATGCATTTATTAAAACCTTATTTTACAATAAAGTTTAACAAACTTTAAATTCAATACAAAAATGTATTGAAATTACAACTAGCAGATATATTAAAACCGTGTTTTAACATTTTATTGAAAAATATTATAAAAAAACAGGTTAACTGATTAATCACTCTTGTGAAGTGAGAAATACTATCATTTCACTCAGTTAGGCAGACTATCGCCTACATCGAATACATGTTACATTAGGTTTACTGCACGTTTTTTGTAATAAAAGAGTAAAATTAATAATAAAAATTATAATATAGATAATTTGATGTCAATTAATGCACATTCTAATGTAGTTAACTTTCGGTAAAAAAATTCTATAATTTTTCAAAAGTGTTTTTTTTTTTAAGCCCAAAGGACGATAGCCCAGAAGGGCTATTAATTTCGTTTTGGCATTTGTAGCGTTTCACTATAAACGACGTTTCACTTTTCAAATTGTTACCACCAAATATTAGAGCCCTGTATTATATTTAAAGAAACTAAATAATGAAGAATCTGCATAAATGTATGTATGTTTCTTGCATTGTGATAAACCATCGGTACCTAGAGCCATCAAAATTTGAATAGCGTATGTTTCCTCCAGAATTTGGGCATCTGCAAGCACAAATTTTAAATTTGCTTTATTATCTATTTCATATTTTGTAAAGCATTTATGAGTTTTTAATTAAGAAACTCAGCGATTTCAAAGCGAGTAATGGCAACACTGTACGTAATATATATATATATATATATATATATATATATATATATATTACGTACAGTGTATATATATATATATATATATATATATTAATCTCCAGCGCTCGAGACTATGTATCGGAAATTCTAAAGAAATGTTCTTTTTAAATTTTTTTGTGATACAGCTGTTGACTTATATTTTATGGTTTAAGTGCGAAGAACGTAATATTTAATAAATAAATGTACACACAAAACGTTAAAAAAAAAACTCTTTGGGGGTAATATAAAATCTGAAAACTTTCAGAATTTTTTAAGCAGTTAATGAGAGAACTCATTTTTGTAAGTTGATCATTCTTTATAATTTCATCATAATTCTATCATTCTTTTATCTGTCTTATATTTTTCTGTTCAGTGCTTTAACCATTCCCATTTAAAAGCATCCTTGATTTCCGAGAATTTTACTATACCTCGTTCTACATTAATTGAAATACTTCAACTGTGTGTATAAGTTTGTAAATGTTGAAATAGATGAATAAAACTTAAAGTAAACTAAGAACCGCGAATAAATTAATATCATTCCATATAATTGCAAAATATAAACTAAAAAAAATAAAGACTGACAGTTTTATTAGTTTTTATGAAACTTACATTAAACGTAAACAGAAATTAGGAATATTATGCTAAAAATCCAAAATGTTATTATTATGCCGATTATTCCACATACTATATTCATTGCATAGGCAACACACTAAACAAAAGAAGTGTCTTTTCGAGTTTTAGGCTCAGTAAAGGAAATTAATTAGATCTCAAACTTAGATTGGTTGCAACAGCATTTTCGTGCCTTTTCCCATTTGCGTGTTAAATACGAATCAGTTTCTTTCTGAAACCTCCTCCACTGAAGTGTATCTTTTAAAATAGATTGTTTCTACAGAAAGTGGCTGTGTACCTATGGCAGATTGTAATGCTATCGATATGGAATTGTTTTCAAAAATCATGCCTGGACATTTTTATTTCTTATTATTTTCGCACAACGAGTAATTACTTTAATCCATACGATTATAAGCAAGTCAGACTGGTATATAAGGCCAAAAAATGGATTTCGAATCACAGCGAGCCTGAATCCATGAACTCCCGAATTAAAACAGAGTACTGTTTTTCACTGAGACGTACTAATAGCATTTTTGCTATTAATAGGTTTCAAATCGTAACTCACATAAGAAAATTGTAAGTAATATGGTGTATACCGGAAAACATCTTAAATACATTAAGTAAAATTAATTGATCTACGGTTAATGATATAGAATATTTTTCTTTCTCCAGATGTTCGACATGAAAAAGTTCCAGCAGAATATTTCGAAAGAGTTACGGCGGGCGTACCCCGACCGGAGGAAGCTGGAGACCCAGTGCATCTGCGTAGTCGCTTTCGTCAAGGACAACGGGGAGGTCCTGGACCTACCCTGCTGGGTCATGATCATCAACATAGTCGCTCTAGACATGCTCAAGTCCAAATTGCCACCTAGTGAGTAACTCATTCGTTTTTACTTGAGACGAATGGCAACCGTAAGATTCTCATCATTTTCTTAATGTCTACCTTAAAAGGAAATTGTACCCAAAAAAATAAATGACTGAATTGGACAAATTTGGGTTGAAAACAAAGTTGCGGGTTTAATTCTTCAAAAACTGAGGACGATCCTTCGAGAAACTCTAATATACATAATTTTCTTCCTAGTTACGGTTCACAAGAAATGTCAAGATTTAATCAGATAATGGCTGCTCAGAATCCGTGAATTTCATGCTTTTACGTTAAACTGGCTATAGGGGTTCATGAATATATATATATATTTGCCTTATATAGATGAGCTGTGAAATCTAGCACAAAAGATTTTTGCTAGGATTTTACTGAAATACTAAATTTAATTGAATTTTCTGCTGTGCATGTAATAATAGATTTTTAAAAGAACATTTTATTATATTTAATGTTTTAATTTACAGATGTGTACTGAATTTTAATTGGTAAATAACTTAGGAGATTATGTTGCATTATATTTTTGGTTAGCTGTCTTTTTAATAAGTAAAGCTGTTTGTGAAAAACCAGTAATGTTAGTAGATACTGCATTATTTACAAGCTGCCTACTTTGAATTAAAATAACACGCCGGATAACGGTTATAAAAGCAACAAGAACAAACAACGAGCGAAATTTTTATAAATTTGAAGGGCTAGCTTTGAAAGTTTAACTATAGAACCTACTTCTTCAGCTGCAGAAGTGCAAATGACGAAAGAGAAGCCCAGAGTTTAAATGCTCAGGCGATTATAATAAGAGGAAGGAAATCAAACTACTGGCGCTGTCTGTTGAAGAAAAAGGGATTTCATAGTTGTTTCCAATTTTAATCGGTAGATGGAGCCGGTAGCTTGATTTCCTTCCCCCTTATTATTGACTGAAAGAACTGTGAAGAATGAAAACTTCTCACCCGAGAAGAAATTTTGTAACCATTTTCAAAATGGTCGAAATGTTAGACTTATATTTTTAATGCCATATTAGTTCTTTCTACATGCATTTCCAGTCTTTGTTTCAACTTTAACACTTTTTCTTCAGCAATGATGCCGAAGAGGACAAGCGCGCCTAATCTGGCAAGTATATTCGAGCGTCCTTTACGTCAGCAGCAGGGCAACCGTCTCGCGGATGAAGACCCTTATAGTCTACCAGGAATGAACTCACGCAATTCCATTTACGGAGTGCTAGGGGAACCTAAACCCCCTAAACTGCCACCCAGGGACATACCTAGGGTTCCTGTGCCTACGGTAAGTAGAAAAAATCATTTGCTGAAAAATCATCATGAAAATAAATACGTTATCTAATTAGTAATGCGTGCAAAATCTAATCAAATGTGAATGAAACTCGCCAGCCGTATGCGGCTCATTGATTATGATCGTTCTGAAAGTACGTTGAACTATGAACTATGCTCGTTGGCTCTGAAGTAAATCTGAAATTGAAATAATAATAATAATTAATTAATAAATAAATAAAATGAGATATGCAACTCTTGTGACATCAAGAGTTAAATCAAGAGTCCCTTTTTGTGCGATATATATTTTTGGTGATCGTGTGTGCTTAATGCATGATATAATTAAAGAAAATAAGAGTAGACAATCTCCTATAACAAAAGAATATATTAAGTACTAAATTACAATTTAAATTACATTGCAGAGATCAACGCAGAGCTCGGAACACAGTTCGTGCAAGCGTCGCGTACACTTGTCCGACGAGAAGTCTGAGTGAGTAAAGATGTCGCTTTGCTGCTCCGATTAAGAACTGGATTTTACACGTGGCGCCATCTCATGAATAGAAGTTGAAGTATCTGTCGGAACGCCACATATTGTTACGAATTCTGCACATATGTAAATAGTTTTAGTGAAATTATGTATGTATGTGTGGTTTTTTTAATATATATATATATAATGTAACATGAAATTCTAAAGGGGAGATGCTTTGTCGGAAAAGTAAGAATACAGGAGCCAGAAGGTCAAGTCTATTTAACATTGAGTAAAAGGCTATCTCACTGAATTGGCGAGGAATCGCCAAAAGTAGAAAAATTTGGCGGCATTTTGCTCCCTCTCCTTTATAACTGTGATGGGTACTGTAATTGAATAACTATAAGTAATCTATTTATTCAACTGTAACTGTATCTGGCCCTACTATGCCTCCCAGTAATTTCGAGAAGTACTAGAGATTTCTCGGCGGCCGGGGGAGAACTGTATAAAACCGGAGAGAGTATCAATTTGATTTTAGTAGTTGTTACTTCAGAGCTAATTTGGAAGCGCTGAGATATTCGTTTTAGCTTCGCTTTTCAGATACGCTTCAGATACGCTTTGATAGCGTTGCATTTAACATTCTTAGTAGTTTGAAGTGTAACTACTAATTTTTTGAAATAATTGCAACAGAAGGATCAAGGGCATGCCGTCCGATGCTCATGGGAGATAAAACAGAGCTTGCTCTATAACATTGTGCCAGTTGCAACCGATAGTGCGAAAAATATAACGGAAAAAAAGGATTTAGCCTTCGACAATTCAAAGAATTGCTACGTGAAATGGAAAATGGTTTCTCCAGTATAACAGTTTCGAAAGCTTTCCGGAGACTATGTAAAACACTTCGCATCTCACACAAATGAAATTAAACTATTCTTCGACAAAAAGAGTATTTAATAAACCTTAACTGAAAGAAGGTCGCAAAATGTTTATTTTATGATAGATTTTGCATCACAACTCAATCAGCGCAGATGTATTAAATTTCAGGGGGAGGAAAATATTCCTTTTTCAACGGCAAGACAAATTATTCGTTTGAACACAAGTTGATTCTATTCATCGAAGATTTACAGATGGCCACGTTAATTACTTTTCCAAAGTTGTCTTATATAGTTGAGACATCTGTGCCTTTATTAACAAAGATTATTTCAAGAAAATGGTTTTAAATATGAAAGAATCTTTTTGTCAAAGATTTTAAGATTTCGGAAATGATAAAGATCTGTTATAACAAATTCTCTTAATACCCAATGTAAAAACGTTGCATTTTTCTCAGTTTGATACTGATACGGCTAATTGTAGATTACAGTTGCTAAACTTGGCAAGCAAAGACCTAGGGAACTCCAAATTTTTACGTCCTGGGTACTGAAATTAAATAAATATATAAATAAAAGAACAAGGAAAACTACAATCTGATTTCACAGCGCAAAATGATGGCTATAAATGAGCTACAGAAAGCAAAGATTTTTCAGTACTTGAAATTGTCTTTTGGACGAATATCATTAACTGGAAAAATCTGTTGGTGTTCTCAATATCTTCGAACCTACGTATTTTTGTAAGCAATCATCTTCTAACATGAATTTCCTTAAATATCAATGGAGCAGCCGTAACCTGCAGTGGAAGAAATAAAACATATCTGAGGATCATTTAAAGAATTAATTAAATAGCTTAGGCTTAGTTTTTATTTTCGTACGTTGATCCTCGTATTAATTTTGCAGGAAAACTGAACTATTATATTTTCAGGCAAAAATCTTTTTAAGTCACAGTTTACTTTAAATACTTCTCGTATATAGAATTGTAATTTCTCCTCCTTTTTGTTCAGTGCGTCGCACTTGGTTTTAGAACTAAGAATGAAACAAAATCCCAATTTTCAAATCCATTTTTCAAATAAATTATGCTATTATTTCATATGTTTCCCTCCCTTTATTTTTTTGAAGAGATCGCTGTGTCTTCTTCCTTTTTCAGTTCACTCCTTTTGAAATTAATTCACAATTATAACAGCATCATGCGAGGAATTAAGGCAATAGCCAAAAGAACACATTTCTTTTTTTTTTTTTTTTTTTTTTTTCTCTTAAAAATTGTTTAGTAAATCTACAAAAGTCTAAAATCTGCTTTGAAGGAATGTATTTTTCTGAATACAATAAGTATTACTTATTTATATGATCTTAAATTCACTTAGTGCGAAATCGAGTTATTCTACTACTTGCGCAGCTGCTGCAAAGTAAGTTAATAATAATTAATTTATTTCCTAAAGAATATTGATTATATTATCTCCTAAGATTAATTTTAGTAGAATTATCTTAAAAGTGTTAATACATACTTAGTAAGTTCAATTTTGAAAAATGTTTTAAACTAACTTGAATGTAAATTGTTAAAAATGTTTAACGGGGAATTGAATTAAATCATGAATAACAAAATTTCAATTGTAAAAAGAAATAAATTAAAAGCAAGTAATTAAATTAAATGCAAGTAATCATTGTCATTGATCGGAAATTAGTTGACTTTTCAAGGGGAACAAACCAACTCCCGTTCAATGAACAATAATTAAGAAATAAATACGAAGGTGTTTCGTCCTTTACTCGAGCAATGAGGCGATGCCAAACTGGCAAGTCAAGCTAGGCCAAACATTTCCGTGAATAGAATTAAACTAAGTATGGATTCACTCTTTTAAGATAATTCTACTAAAATTAATCTTAGGAGATAATATAATCAATATTCTTTAGTAAATATATTACTTATTTATATTTATACTAATAAGCAATAAGCATTATTTATTTTTATTTACATTACTATATTATTTACAAAATCAGTATCGCTTTTATATTAGTCAAATATTTCTATTCAAAAACAGTATGACTACTTCTAAAATTATATAAACACTAGTTATGGTAAATCTGCCTATGACTCCTCAGTTCTGAAAATTTTAAATTAGGCACCCCACGACATAGAGTTTGGTCCCCTTCCCTGCTAAATATTATTAAATCTAAAATTCGCTGACTCAATTTTGTCTTTTGATCAGCTATTAATTATTATTTTGCTTATAGTGATGATGTATGAAATCAATAGTAAATCAATAGTAAATGTAATCGGGCTTCGTTAGGCTAAAACGAGAGAGCACACACACACACACACACACACACACACACACAAAAAAAAATCAGTTACTGAAAATTCGAATTAACGAGACTTTCGGCAAATCCTACTGCAAAAATACTTAGGACTACACGTAGATATACAAGTAAATAGAAATCTGTTTGAAAGTGATGATGGAAAAAGAGCTTTGTTTGTATTTAACATAATTATATATATATATATATATATATACATAATGTTAAATACAAACAAAGTATATATATAATGATAAAATACGATGCCTACGTTAAGAAAATGATTGGCGACCTCAGAAATGACTATTCTAAATTTTATGTTCTCCCCATAAGTTCATCTGTTCTCCCAAATTCGAGATGCTCTTTCTAGGTTACATAATGCCGCTTGCAAAAGGAAACTAAACCTAAAATTAATCAATCGCAACTTAGCTATATATATGCACCTATATAAATGCTGCTTTGCGAGCAATAACGTCACTTCTTCTTCTTAACTTCTCCTGTCATGCAACACCGCTACGCTTATTTGTCTAGGATGATGTCTTCCTTTTTTAACATGTATAGAGATATATTAGGATTTTTTGGAAGCCGAAGAGATGAAAAATTATCAACGCCTTCGCCGGGAATCGAACCACGGACCTCTGGAATACCGACCCAGCGAGCAGAACCACTACACCACGAAGGCACGCTAGGAAGGCGAGAGAAATACCTTATATACTCCCCCTTTTAAAGGGCGACTAGAGTTTTTAGGGGACCCAAACGCCAAATCCTGAGTGAGGAGAATCATCGTCCAACACCCTTTTAGTTCGGGCGCGACTTTAGGATTCTCCACTGTGTAATTCTAAGTTACTATTGAAAGTGAAGAATCTTAAGAACTGATAAGCGAATAATCGCTTGAGTTCGTGTGACAGGAAACAACAAGACAGAAGGGTAAAAGAACCCTTTATTATTCCAATTAAAGTTTAACAAAACTCCGTCTTGGAGTTGTATAATAAAGCCGACACTTGGGCTTCAACTTAAGAGAACAAGAATTAAACTAAACTAATCTTAACGAAAGAGATATAGCCGAAGCTATCAAAATTCTATCAGAGTGACCTTAACTTACCTAATTGACTGCGAAGCTATCAAGGGCCTAAAGTACGGCCGAGCATAATAATAGCTTACGGGAGAGGAGCCTAAAAAGACGGACGCGTGCAGCCAGAAAATCTGGTATCTCTCTCACTAAGACAGAAGAACTTCGCGGTTAAATACCGCTGTAGGAAAGGAAGTTTAACTCAAAATTTAAATGTTAATAAATTAACATAATTCTTACACATGTGTACATAAAAATTATTGTATTCAACTATGATCGAAAAGTATATTGTCTACAAAGAAATGATTTGATATGCGTGAAAATAAAGATTATTCAAATTCAGTTTTGTTAGTTTCGTCTGTATGCCTTCACACTGAGCCATGTCAACTGCCGGATATTCAACTAGGCAGGTTTCAAGCAGGGCGCATTAAAATATCACACACACGCAATGTGTGTGTGTGTGTGTGTGATTACATATATATGTTACGGTGAAACACCGAAATCTGGAAAATGTCGACTTTCACCGGTGAATGTCAACATTCACATAGTCTCTTGGTGTACGTCCGAAATACACTCATGTCCATAAATTAAGGATAATGCAAAATCAGGCAAAGGAAGAGTTAGAAGCAAAACAAATTTGACTTATACTTATTTGTAAAGCTTATTTATTAAACAAAAGGTAAAGAGCAAAAAAAAAAAAAAAAAAACATGCTATATGTTTGATATTAAAAAAAATTAGCGATTTTTTTCTCCCTGGAGCAAATTACAAAAAAAAAAAAAAAAAAAAAAAAAAGAAGAAGCCTATTTACAAAAAACCAATATTACATGTGTTTGGTATGATTGTTAATACATTGTACGTGTCCCAGGCAATGTAATACAGTCCGTACAACGCCTAGGCATGCTGAGTATCAAATTATCGATCTGATCTTGGGGGATATTACACCACTCAAAAAGAAATGCTCTCCGAAGTTCCGGTAGACATGTAGAAGGAGGTTGACGGGCTGCAACTCGTCGGCCAAGCATGTCCCACACGTGCTTCTACTGGATTCAAGTCCGGTGAGAATGCTGGCCAGTCCATACGGGTGATATCCTCCGATTGAAGGCATTCGCTTACGATGTTTGCACGGTGAGGACTGGCGTTGTCATCCATAAACAAATTGTGCGCCCATGGCACCCCCCGAAACAAATGTACATGTTGTTCCAGAATGACGTCCCGATAGATTTGGCTTGTCATGGTTCCAATTTGAACATGCAGGTCAGTTCTGGAACCCAGAATAATTCCACCCCAAACGAGCACTCCTGCACCACCGTAACGTTGTCGTTCAATGATGCTTTTCTTGGTGGTAACGGGTATCTGGAGCTCTCCATATGAAAGTCCGGCGAGAATCAGACTGCAAGCTAAACCTGGACTCGTCGGAAAACATCACACAAGCCCACTGTTGCGGTGTCCACAGTGCATGCTCTCTACTCCAGGCTAACCGCAGGCGACAGTGAGTTGCAGTAAGTGGAACGCATCTGACAGGTCTACGAGCATATAAACCAATCTGCCCTAAGCGTCTGTACACGGTCTGCCTTGAAATTGTCGTACCAGTGGCTGAAGAGAGCTGACGAGACAGGTCTGAGGCTGTGCTCCGCCTGTTTCTTTTGGCAGTAACTGCCAAATACCGGTCCTCATTCGGCGTTGTAACTCTGGGGCGACCTGTGCTGTAACGTCTACTCACATTACCATCATCTTGGAATCGTTGCCAAAGCCTGGAGATGACACTCTGGGCAATTCCAAGTTCGTCTGATACTTCCAGTTGGGTACGCCCACATTCCAGATGGCCGATAATTCTACCACGTAAAAAATCATCCAAATGCGTCCATTGTGTCATAACTATTCGGTTATTGCGCTGAAATGCTTATAAAGCGCCTGCGAACAATTTTACTTCTTTGCCTGTATTCCTTATATATCACTCTTTTACACTCTCATCATTGTGACGTACCATCGGTGTCATCTGGTTACTTCCTGAAATTTGCATATGATTCTTGAAGATGTGTGAAGTGATTTTACAGGTGATATATTTATTTTAGAGTTCGATTTTCGCGTGACTCCAAATTATCCTTAATTTATGGACATGAGTGTATTTTCCAAATACCCTTATTTCTGACTTAACCGGTCAATGTCGACATTCACCATGTACTAATGGTGAATGTTGAACATATAACAATATTATATTTTCTTCTCCGTAATTCAGTCGCGAATAAACGCACTTGAAACTTGAAATAAGAACTTAAGAACATGAGAACCTAAAACACACAATACATTCAAAAGAGAAAGGAAAATAATAGAAGTTAAAAACTTACTTAATTATACAGTACATTCTAAATGAGAAAATAAAATAACAGTAATAAAAAACTTACTAAATTATGTGATTCAAATCTTATTTATTGCAACAACTTAAACTATTATGGCACTTTATGACCTCTCATTTCGACTTACACCAGAGCATATCTGTGATTGTCGACATACACCGGTGAGGATCCTTATATACAAGAATGTAGTGCAATATTCGATCTTTCACCAACGTATTTGGTGAATGTTAACATTCTCCGGTGAAAGTCGACATTCTCCAATTTCGGTCTTTCACGGTAACATATATATAAAACGTAATACAGAAAAATCTTGAATTCTGGTCTAATTCATTTTGAAACTTCAAACTGATTATACATTTAGCAATAATAACTATCCACATAGTTAGGTGCATAATAACAACTCTCTCTGCAATATAAACATTTCTCATTTAAACACTGTTACTGAAGTATTTTAAAATGCTATTATATATTTTCAGCCGGATTACGAAGATAAGGAAGAGGGTCACTTCGACTTTCCGCCAGCCAAAAATAACAGCAACCATGTCCATTCCAGAAATACTAGTATATATGGTAAGAAATAATTTCTTTGATCTTTTTCGCAGAGAAAAAATATGAGTGCATTATGTAAAATATAATAAATGTGTTGATTTAAATCTAAGAAATATCCTACATTGGACGGGAATTAAACACTTAGGGTGTTGGCCCTTTATAATAAATATTCATTCTTTCAAAATTCTTACTCTTCACTAAGTCTATAAAGTAAACGTTTCCACTTCCCAGATGTGTCTGTTGTTGTTGTGACTTATCTCACCTGTCTGACATAATCAGAAAAAGCCCACGAATTGTATTGTGGCAAGAAATACAAGACTGCGTGTGTCACTGACAAGAGCCTTAGACACCATACAGGTGACAACACAATTTTGCTCGGTTTTGAAGCAAAGCACCCAACGGGGGGTTCAGTCCGAAGAACTCACCTTCCCCCTTTTCCTGCCACCAAACTACACGAGAGGACTTTTGGCTCTCTATACTTTTAGAGTGCCCTCATGCCGCAATGACACTATACATTTACAATATTCATGCCTTCTTTCGGATTCAAACCCAGGTACTTCGATACAATTGTCCCAGAAGTGTTTGTTTCTTAGGAATGGCACAGTAAATGTCTACAATAAAAGTCACGCATGTGTAAGTGAAAAATAAATAAAATATTGTATTGTGATAACTATGAAATCATTAAACACAGCGGAAAATTAGATCCATTAAAAATTTCAGAATCTGCGTATGAAGCAGCATGCCTGTTGAACAAGATAGTGTATCAATTTATTGTTCTCACTAAAAAAGAATCCCTAAATATCATAAAGAAATCAAGTAATAAAAATAATGTTAAAATAGTAGCATATGTCATAGCAGTTATACAATATCATTTTCGCAAATATTTTAATAAAACTATTCTCTAAAATTTAAGTTTAGCTGATAAACAGAATTTTTTACGATATTCTATCTACAGAAGAAAAGAACATTTTTAATCTTTCAAGTTTTCTAACAAACTCAGAATAATTGTATATTTTAATTTGAAAAGGCAGCTTCATTTGAAAGAACTCTCAATCGCCACGACAGAGGAAATCCCTCTAAATTATTTGCAGAAAATAGTAGATGACCATTGTTTTATGTAAAATAATTGGGTTGCATCTAATTTAATTGCATCTTTGCCACATGACAAATCACGGATATTACAGTTTAATTTAAATGCATTTTTAATTGCTTTTCGAGATTTGGTAAAATTTTAAAAGAGACCAATGCGTGTAATACGTTTTATATAAGAATTTCAACATGTTTTTTTCCCAGTGTAAAATATTTTAATGCCTTTCTCTCGAAATAACAATTTACATATTTGTGGATTTATTATGGTGATGATAATATTCATTTCTTCAATAATAAAATATTCTAAACATAAATATTTATATATTCCAATGGAAAGTTCTCAAAAATTTTGAGAAAAGAATGATATCCTTTTCCTCATTAGATGGCAGCACTAACGAAATAAATTTTCATGCTACAGTTGTATATCAGTATACGTGATTAACCATTTCAAGATCCTTAGACGTACACCAAATGAATTTTACCAATTAAAAATAAAATGAAAATAATGCATTTGTTCTTTAAATTAAGTCCTATTGTTATTATTATAATACTGTTTAACTAAAATGTAAATGCAGAGAATGTATATTGTACATACCTTTTTTTCTGTTATTCTGAGTAAACGCAATTTCTCAGTAAGCTTTAGTGTCTCGGATCTTTGTTTAATACCCTTCTCAAAGTTAGTGATTAAATAACACCTTTGTTTCTCGAAATCGTAGACACCATCGTATTCGCCATACAGTATGCAGTAGCTAAGTCCCAAATACGCATGCTATCTTCATACTTTTCAACAATCTCTTTTTTCTCATTAACCTTTCTAAAACTCATTGGGGCAACAGGCGTACTAACGCTTATGAACAGTCGTAGCATTGTCTCAAAAGAAGCAACGAATGGTAAATTTTTGCAATCTTGACTCATCCAATTCAAGTAGTATTTCAAAAAATATAATACACTAAACAAAAATTTTCGCGTCCGAACAAGACGTATACCGAAATATATACTATATTACACTTTATTTTTCTATATTATTATTTATCCTTTTTTAAACATCAAATGCGAAATTATTCCCAGAAAGTTAAAGAACAATAACTTTTTCTTTGACCAATAATTTTTCGATCAAAACTATGTTTACTCACTAGATGGCAGCACTAACGAATGACGTTAAAAATTTATGGAGATTTCCTGTTATGTTTTTACCACCAATCCTCAAATTCCATATCACAGATTATCTTCTTATTGCATTAATATAAATATTAACAAGACATAGTGCACAATAAAAATTAAGCTTTATTTCGGAACTTCGCGCACACTCCCCGACAGCCTGCCTGTTTTCGCTCTGCTCGCTACTCGTAAGAAACTTCTCCTCTAGGGTTGCCACACTTATCGGAGGGCGCAAGGCGCGCTCCTTATCGCCATCACCACGACATCCGTGCTGTCGGGTATTTTTTTTATGATTACAAAATTAGAATATAAAATTAGAAAAGATCAAAATGCAATTCAATATATAACAAGGTATTGACACATATAATAAACATGAAATAACAAGAAATATGTTAAGATATGAATTTAAAAAAAAATGTTTTAAATTGTTATGTAAGAAGCAAGTTTCTTAGGGAAGTGAACATGTCTTCCCGATCTGGTGACAGTTTGTGTCTTAGAGAGTTCGTTTGCAGATTTATTCTGCTGAACTGTCTTTAAGTCTTTATTTGTTTTCAGTTCAGGCAAATTAGAGTCCGAAAGCAAATAGGCTGGTTTCACACGGTCTATAGACACAGTAGATTTCAGACCGTTAACATCAATTGTGAAAGTTTTGTCCGTTCTAGAAAGGACTTTATGCGGACCTGTATATGGTTGGCACAGAGGTGGCTTTACTCGATCGACACGTAAGTATACATGCGTACACGACTTTAAGGTAGCACTTACGTAACATTTTTCTTGGCAATGTGCAGATGTTGCTATTGGATTCAATTGTTGCATTCTATGCCTAAGATTCGTGATAAATTGTGTGTCATACGGAGATATCTTAGATGACGTTATCATATCACTAGGCAGCTTGAGAGTTGTGCCGTACACCAGTTCAGCACACAAGATGACTGTAGATCTTCCTTTACGGCTGTCCGAATACCAAGCATAACAACTGGTAGTGTTTCAGTCCAGTTATTGGTCTCGTGAGCCTTGAGAGAAGATTTTAAATGTCGATGAAATCGTTCAACAATGCCGTTGGACATTGGATGATAGGCTGTTGTTGTGATTCTGTTCGTACCCAAAATGCGCGTAAATTCTGCAAAAAGTGCGGATCTCATTTGAGAACCTTGGTCTGTTGTTATGATCGATGGGCAGCCAAAACGAGATATCCAACAGTTGAAGATGGCTCTGCAAATGGTTTCCGTTTTCATATCCGGGATGGGAATGGCTTCAGGCCATCTGGAGAATCTATCTATTAGAGTCAAAAGGTACACATTGCCTTCTGATGGAGGTAACGGTCCGACGATATCCATATGGATTTCTGAAAAACGTGCATCAGGAAGAGAGAATGTGCCCAGTGGTGCTTTAGTATGCCTAGTAATTTTCGATTTTTGGCAAGATTCACAGGATTTCACCCAATTTTTGATATGACGTTTCATATCGGGCCATACATAACGAGAACAAATAAGCTTCGTAGTAGCTGCAATTCCTGGATGTGACAGATTATGCAGATGATTAAAGATGAGTCTGCGAAAGGAATTCGGAACAAATGGACGAGGAATGTCCGTGTTGATATGTCACAAAGAATATTACCATCAGAATATTGGCACGGTTTAAATTCCAGTTTCAAAGATGATGTGTTGTTTTTGAGAAGGTCTTGTACCTCCGGATCATGCCGTTGAGCTTCCGAAAATTTTTTAAAATCCAAAAATGGAGATTTTGTTATGGAATCAATTTCGATTCTTGAAAGAGCGTCAGCAACGACGTTTTTTGAACCTTGCACATGCCTAATATCAGTAGAGTACTGAGAAATAAAATCTAAATGTCGCAATTGTCGAGGTGAACATTTATGAGGGTTCTGTTTAAAAGCGTATATTAACGGTTTTTGATCCGTATAAATTATAAAATTTCTGCCCTCTAACATGTGTCGGAATTTCTTAATTGCAGAATAAATAGAAAATAATTCCCTATCGTACGCGGACCATTTCTGTTGACTTTTATTGAGTTTCATAGAGAAAAATGCTATAGGTTCCCATGTTTGTTGAGACAACTGCATAAGTGTGCCGCCGATTGCGACGTCTGAGGCATCTACCCAGATGCTTAGCTGGGCTCCGGGAATAGGGTGTCTCAAAAGGGTAGCCTGAGCAATGGCATTTTTGGCAGCAATAAAGGCTTGTTCAGCATTCTCGTTCCAATTTAATTGTGGGGATGAATCCTGAACACGAGAACGAGATTTCTTTTTATTAATATAGCCTTCTAACAATTTTATTAAAGGAGAAAGAATATGTGCTGCTTTAGGTATGAAACATCTATAAAAGTTAAACATGCCTAAAAATCGGCGAAGCTGAGTGAGAGTGGTAGGTTGAGGAAAATCTAAAATACATTTGACTTTGTCAGGAAGAGGTTCAATTCCGTTTTCACTAAGGTGAAAACCTAAGAAATCAATAGATGTTTGACCAAAGGTGCATTTTGAAACATTTATGCAAAGTCCATATTTCCTGAAGTTTGGAAAATAAAGCTTTCAAATGCCTGCAATGTTCCTCAGAATCTTTAGAGGCTATGAGCAAGTCATCGACGAAAAGCGTAAACGCCTTCTAAATCCCGCGTGACTTCATCTATAAAACGTTGAAAAGTCGCAGATGCATTGCATAAGCCGAATTGCATACGGGTACTTTCGAATAAACCGAATGGTGTGCATATGGCGGTTTTGTGGATGTCGGCTGGGTTAATTGGTATTTGATGGTATGCCTTAATCAGGTCGACATGACTAAAAATTTTAGTACCGTGCAATGCAGCAGTAAAATCGGCTAAACATGGAATAGGGTATTTGTCTTTTATTGTTTGAGCGTTCAATGCTCGATAATCTCCTACAGGTCTCCATTCCAGACTTCCCTTTTTTGGAACCATGTGAAGTGGGGATGCATAATTGCTGCTCGAAGGTCTCAAATGCCCCAATTGCATCATAGTTTGAAATTCTTGTTTTGCTATTTTTAAGCGATCTGGAGCTAACCGACGAGGTTTTGCAACCACAGGTGGACCTTTAGTTATGATATAATGAACGGTGTTATGTTTAACAGGTTGGTTAGGATCTGGTAATCTAGTAACTGAAGGAAATTCTTTTAAAATTTTGTGATATGGTGTATCACACTAAATACAGTTTTTACTGAATAAATGCTTGCATTTTTGCAACCGACGGTTTTAAAATGCGTTTTTAAATCTTTGAGACATTTGTTTCTGAGATCAGGCACCAATTCAAAGAAATGGAGAAAATCTGCTCCAAGAATGGGTGTACTAACATTTGCTATAAGAAAAGTCCATGTAAACTGTCGTCTTAATTTGAAATCCAAAGAAAGTGTTTTTTGACCATAAACATGAATAGTAGAAGAATTAGCAGCGAAAAGTGTTTGTTGGGACGAATTCCGTTTTTGAGAATTATTTGCTGGAAGTAAGGACACGTCAGAGCCGGTATCGACCAAGAATGAAAGGTTTGTTCTACGGTCACGAACGAACAGGCGACGTGAAACTTGAGGCAAAGAATAAGTCGCCTCTATTCTTTGCTGGTTTCGTTTCCCTGCCATGAACAAGGTTTTGTACATTTGTCATCTCTACACTTTTTCCCAAAACGTCTATGATACCAGCAAACAGAATAATCTCTCCTTTTGGAATTGCTTCTTTCCTTATTGCGATCTCCGCGATTTGGCGAGCGACCACGAGAAAGAGAAATGCGATCAATACGTTTGTTTAATTTTTCTATTTGTTTAAATAATTTATCCTCAAGAGACTGATCGACTGTGCGAGAAACGGCACAAGTCCCTGGGGTTGGATTTACTTCTAAAATTCTGTCGGCAATTTCTGCAGCTTTATCTACAGTTAAATTGGAAACCGCTGCCAAAATAGACTGAACAGTCGAAGGCAAACGTTGAAGGAATAATTCTAACATTAAGTTATCAGGAACATTTAAAGATTCTGCTCGACGTTTCATATTTCTAAGCAAATCGGAAGGTTTTCGAGAACCTAATTCTTCTCCAGATAATAATTGGCGAATTTCTTGCTGAGAAGATTCTCCTGAACGATTTATTAACTCAGTTTTAAGCTTTGCATATGGATCAATAGGGTCTGGTTTCATAAGTAAATCCCGTACTAGTTGATGCGATATCTGGAGGAAGATGAGAAACTACATAATTATATTTAGTAATGGATTCTGTGATAGGTTTGGGGGTGGCAAGAGCAAAGGTACTTTCACACATAATAAACCATAAAGATGGGTCTGATCGGTTATAAACCGGAATTTGGACTGCATGAATATCAGACATTGTGCAAGGTTTTTAAGCCAAAAATAAAAGCAAAAATTTAACTAAAGAAAATGAAATTAAATGATAAGTAGAAAACAGAATTATAAAATGATCTATAATTACTACTCATCTGTGATCCGGAGGATGAAAACCGATGTAATCCATTACTTCTGGTTTGGAGATCTTGAGTGATGGCTTGTAGTCAAAACCGAAAGTGCTTGAGAACTGTTCATACGATTTAACACAGTCCGGGTTACCATTATGGAGATTTCCTGTTATGTTTTTACCACCAATCCTCGAATTCCATATCACAGATTATGTTCTTACTGCATTAATATAAATATTAACAAGACATAGTGCACAATAAAAATTAAGCTTTATTTCGGAACTTCGCGCACACTCCCCGACAGCCTGCCTGTTTTCGCTCTGCTCGCTACTCGTAAGAAACTTCTCCTCAGTCCAGGTTACCATTAGGGTTGCCACACTTATCGGAGGGCGCAAGGCGCGCTCCTTATCGCCATCACCACAAATTCTTTTGGTATTTAAGAAGAAATATCTCGAAATTCATAACATTAAAATTAGTTTTTTGTATTATACTTTGCTTTCTATTATTTTTTATTTTTTTAAATATAAGATTATTCTTAGAGAGTTAGTAAACAATGACTGTTATCATAGACATTTTTTTTAGGTAAATCCAACGTAACGTGACGAAATCTCAAATATAAAGAAAACAATAGACCAATACACGAATTATTTCAGCCGGAGCCTATTTGGTTCATATTCATATTGATATCTTTCCATTGTACGTTTCAATAATTTCATACCAAATAATGCTATATACTAAAAACAATTAAAATATTCATAGTTGTAATTCTGAAATTGTTTTAATAGGAGGGAAGTCCGAAAAGTAAGCAAACTAATACAACGATTTAATAAAACAGTTTAAGAAACTAAACAAATAGTCTGTCTGAGCATGTTAGTCATCTGAGAATACTATTCAAAATTCAAAATAACTGGAATTGAATGCAGCTTATAATAAGTTTAGCAGTTTCATTACCAAACTTTAATTTGTAACCAGTTTGAACAAAGAATATAATCTTTTATAAATGTTAAAAAAAATTATCTAACTAAACTAAATAATTCAAACTAAAAATTCATACTATAGTTACAGTAAAAGAAATGTAAGTATATGCATTATTTATAATTTCTTGATCCTGGATGCTACGTATTAGTTCTTTTTCATTTTCTTTCACTCTGGAATTTAAAATTTTCCATATTGATATTTTTAGTGCATTTTTCGAAAAATTCATTATTGCACAAAGAAAGGCTTAACAAATCGTTAATGTTACTTTTTAATTGATTTCTGATTTAGCGGATTCTCTCGTTACCAAAGATTTAACTTTAGAAACATTAGAAACAAATACGTACCGATTTGAGGTATTAGTTATGCATCTCATAACTTTTTGAATTATGCAATAGGAGTAAACGCAAAACATATTTTTTTTTTTTTTTTTTTTTTAGACCAAAGGGAGGAGTTGCCCCGAAGGGCTATTAATTTCGTTTTGGCATTTTTCGTTGATTCACTATAAACGGCGAATCACTTTTTAAATTGTTGCCACCAAACATTAGAGCCCTGCATTTTAAAGAAATTAAATAATGAAGAATCTGCATAAATGTATGCATGTTTCTCGCATTGTGATAAAACAACGATAACTAGAAAGATCAAATTTTGAATAACGTACGTCTCCACACGAATATGGGCATCTAGAAGCCCAAATTTGGAATTTGTTTTATTATCTATTTCATATTTTGTAAATCATTTATGAGTTTTTAATTAAGAAACTCAACGATTTCAAAACGAGCAATGGCAACACTGTACGGTGGGGGGGGGAGAAAAAAAAGAAAAAACATTTTTATCTCCAGCGCGCGAGACTGTGTATCGGAAATTCTAAAGATATGCTCTTTTAAATATTTTGTGATATTGTTGTTGAATTGAATTTTATGGTTTAAGTGCGAAGAACATGATATAATAAATAAAGGTAACACACAAAACGTTAGGAAAAGTCCCTTTGGCCGTAATATAAAATCTGAAGGCTTTCAATTTTTTTCCCCCTGGATACAACCCAAGGATTTTCCTCCGAATAGAAAACAGCAAACATTCCTTTTTGCAATAAGAGATCAAAATATATGGTGCGGTTTAATAGCTCATCCTTACTGAATATTATTTCTTTTTTAGATGATCCCTACTACTGTGGCCTCAGCGCTCGAGTACCAAAATTCGGCAAGAAGCCGCCACCACCTCAAATGCCCGGTCTTCACACTCCTCTGAGAAAAGCCCACAGTGGAAGTTACCTCAGTCTCATCCGGCCATATGATTCTGGACTAGGTAAATAAATCAGCAACGTTTTTTGACATTACACAGTCAGACAAGTATGGTAACTTTAATGAAATACACACAGTTTCAGAATAAAACTAATATATATATATATATATATATATATAAACGGAAATCATAATGCGCAAATACTATTTCATTTTTATAATATAAATACATGTAACTTTTTGCATTCCTTTTTTGAAATAACAATTTCATACACAAAATTTTCCATTTTTCCTACCTTGTACCAAGTAAAGAAAGTATCGTAATCGCGAACAAATTCGGATATCATATTTCAAGGAAAATATTCATTCTGACTGCTCTGGAATCCATTCGAACGATTTTTTTGCCTGACATCTGTACCTACGGGCAGAATAAAGGAATCTTTTTTCCAAACCGGATTGCAAAATGGATTCAGACACGGTTTTTTTCGTCACGTATGTCAGTACGTATTTCGTGTAATTCAAAAACGATTAGCCTAGAATGTTGAAATTTTGTTATATGGGACTGTTATAACATCTAGTTGCGCATTTTCCGTTTTTCTTGCAATCAGCCGCGTCAAACGTAAGTATATATGTGTATATCCAACCTTCTTACCCCGCTCGGTTAACTGTTTTATTATTATTATTATTATTATATGTTGATAAACTGTGCATTTTTTGCTTTAAAAGTGACTTTAAAGTTTCTTTTCTTCCGGTTAAGATTTTTAACCTTTAGTTAATCTGCATGCAATGGTAGCAGAATTATCAGCAATTTAAAAGTGTCAATTTCACTTTGCTTAAATAACTTGGCAGCTATTTGTTTACATCTGAAACTCTTAGTCCTATAATGAATTTAGTCAGTTGGTGCATCTTCAGTGTCTTTTTGCACAGTGTGACTTAAAGTTAGCCTAAAATCTTGTCTGCTTGCCTCTTGGCCGAATTGCTTGTTTCGGTGTAAAAACTCTCATTTTAATTGAAAAAAAAAAAAAAAAAAATTGTGTGTGTGTGTTATGTGTTTTAGGGTTTTCTGTATTTTACAACTTTTAATGAAGAAGTTTTGAGTTATCATGTATATTTGCTTTGCAGCGAAGCGAGAACTAAATTGATTGACTAAAAAATATATCTCTAATGAAATTCAGAAAAAAAAAGTTTAAATGAAGTGCGTCAAAAAGTGTATATAATATAATAGGCCGTACAAGGAAGCTATGTGTTGTCCACCTGAGATTTTTATTAAGAATTCACCGACTTTTCCAGCATAATTAGTAATGCTAAATGAATTACGATTCGGACATCATTGCTTAGTAAACTGTTAATGCATCTTCTGACATTTCTCGTACTTACTTTGTTATCTGTCAAAATAAAAATGCATGCGATGACTCTAAAATTTGTCTTTCCTATCCTTTACAGAATCTGATGGCCACACCGGATCTAGCGAAGATGATTATTCTAAAATTTATGGTCGGCTTCGTGCTGCACCAGCTCACTACGGATATTACCAACGTAAAGAACTATATGCCAGCAAGTGGCATTAAACAGGACAAATTTGATTTTGAATCGATCAATGATGCTGAAAAGCATTATTGAACTGAATGCTGCACTTCTAGTTTGAGTCCTGAGTTGAATTATTTCAGTGTGGAAATAATGACATTCTACAAATTTTGCAGACTTAAGACTATCATGAAAATACATGCAAAGAACGTATTCTTGATCTTACCAATTTTCCCTCAGAAACGTAAGCAGTTCCATTTTATCGGTAAATGCAAATCTAGCTAATATTGCCCTTGGGACTATCTCTGGACTGATAGTCCCAAGGGCGAACGGGAATTTAACTGATAATTTATAATTTCTTTATTAACAGTTTTTGTTATTAATTTATACCTCTAAGCGTTTTAATGTATTTTATATCTCAGCTTGACATATTTTTATTTTTAGCTGCTGCAAATTAATCTAAACTGTACTCACGTAATTAATAATTGAACTCATGTCAGCAAAAGCCACATATTTATCAATGCCAGCATAAAGTGTTAAATACTGCTAAAAGTTGGGGAAGTCTATTTAAAAAGTGTACAAAATGACAAAAAAATATTTAAAGAAATGCAAGTAGACAGCATTCCTTTCCTTCCGCAGGACTGCAATAAAAAATAAGTGATATTTCTAAACAGCAATCTTTAAAATGATTAATTTTTAACAGTTTAAAATATAATAAATTAATAAAATCATTTGGGTTAAATAAGAAATATCGATTTTATAACTTTATTCATTTTATGTTATTTGATATGGATCTCGTACTGTCCAGAATACGTTGAATTTCAATTTTAAATAATAGAAAGCAGTTTTAGAAATATTTACTTCTGAAACTTGACCTAAAAAGATGAAAAAGTCAACACTTCATATGCCCCTCCATATAAAGAATGCATGTAAATAGTGTAGCAGATATTCTACACAAAACAGCCACCTTTATGAAAAACTTGAACTGGAGGCTGCTTTTTTCTTCTCGAATGATTTACAAGGATTTGAAAACTTGGTGTTTTAATATTATGAACTATTTTTGACAATTATACAGTCTATTTTTCTATAAATGAAATTATTTACGCAGTTGATCTAAATCAAATGGAGTTTTCTGCCATTTGTATTATTTTTTCAGTGGAAAAAAATTCATGTGTATATATAAATATGAATACAGCTTATACAATATCTATTCATTAAACTTATCCTTTGTAACAAATGTAAAAATGGCCTTTTGTATGTGGTGTCACAAAAGTGCAGTTTAAACAGCAAAGAAAATTTGTCCCTAAAATGATAATAAATGAATATTGCTTGAAAAGGATTTTGTGAAAATAAATTCTACATGCAACCAGATGCCTACATAGTGGGAATACTATGTTGCTTCCGAAGAAGATAGACTTTATGGCAGTTTAACTAGCAATTTTCTATGCTTAATATTTCTCAAATGCAAACTATCAAAGGTGATCGATTTTCTGTTCAGTGTATTTTATGCAAAATAAAATGTGTTTAGAAAATTTTTCTTGTCTTATTGTATTTATTCACTTGCAGCACTACTTTTTTTTTTCCTCCTAAAACTTTACATACAGCTAACAACAGATTGCCTACTTTCCTGACGGTGCTTATCTAAAATATATACAAATTGATTTAAATAGCAACAAAGTCATTTTCTGGATACTTGAGGTAAAATGAATCTTGGTTTATAGTTTCTAATATTATGTAACACAAATTACGTTCCATTCAATCCTAAAGGATGGGGCATTTTATTAACCCCTTAAGAGGCATTACCGCCTTTATCCAGTTATGAAAGTTTTTGTTATTTTTATCTTTGTAGATAAGTGTTCCGCCATATTGATTACAGCACTACATGAACTGACTCATAGCCTCTGTGTAGGCGGAAGTTGGGTTATATCAGTTAAGTCTCCTGGGAGTCTTACTTGCTACATACAATGCCCATGGGAGCCCAGAACATGGAGGGCATAATTTTGAATTTGAACTCTCTCAGGATGACCAAAGCTGAACAGGCTTCCCTGGGTCACCACTCCTCGGGGCATTGAGACCACAAGATTAAGACAGCTAACTGAAAAACCATAGCCTGCCCATCCCGCTACCCAGTCAGATGACATGTGGCACTACCTTCCCGGACAATATAGGCTACCCTTTTGGGCAGGCGAAACTGGGTAGGTGTATTTTATGTCTCCAGAGGTGATACTGTCAGAGTATCGTACTAAGCCATTGTGTACAAACCCCCAGAGGGGTGTCATTTGGTATATATTATCTTATCATTTAAAATATTTTGCTTTCTTAATTTATATAATGATCTATATTTTATCATAATGAAAGTTTATGAAATAGATTAAAATAATTAAACTAAAAAGTTTAACTAACAAATGCTGTTTAAATACAGTCTTTTATAAGCAGAGCCAGAAAGCCATGCCACTCGGAGGATTAAACTTATCATGATATGGTGAAGTAGATATTTTGAATACTAATTAATTTAATGCACAAAATCAAAGAATGAAAGCATTCTTGGATATTTCAGAAAAGCAATGCATTGTCTTGCTTTGAAAAAATAACAAGGAGCTATGATGATAAACTTACTGAATAATATGAAGTCTATAAATTTAATAAATAGTTCAAAGTACTTAAAATTATAATTTTCTCTCGTTTAAATTTAATATTCCTGAATGTTGTAACTGCATCCTGCATTCAATTTTCGGAGCTAGAACAGACTACACACATGAATTTTTCTCTAAGCGTTGTTAGCCGTTTCTTTAACTTTGAAATTCCTTCATAAAACATCACATCTTAAACTGAAAGTCTTTGCATTTCTTAAAATATAAGTAATAAAAACTTTTAAAAAAATTTCTTGCGCATAATGCTACTAAGATATAATTTGTAAATATCTATTAAAATTAACATTTAAAAGAAAAACAAATAAGAAAATAATATATCATAAATTGAGAAAATTAACGGTACTTCTAATTTTAAAATGTTTTTAAAAAAATTAAAACTAAAAACGGAATCAAAATAATATTTGCTATATGATATTAATTAAGTATAGCAGTAAAAGTGGCAAAAAGTAGAAAAGTCTGTATTATTATATTCAGACCCCTACATCGTCAAGAGGAGGGAACGTTTTCTTATGATAATACACTTTCTTCGGACAAATTTATTCTGTTTCTGTAAGCTTAAAATTATCCAAGGCATTGAATTAATAATATACTTTCAGTATTCCTGAAAACTAAAAACTCCTATCCTACAGAACAAATTTAACACATTCAAAAAAACATATATTTGACAGTATCAGTCCTGTACATGTATACACGTAAAAATTTCAAAAAGAAAAAAATAATAATAATAATAATAATAATGAAACGCTTAAGACTTTTTAGTTTACATGATAATAAACTTTAAAAAAAAATATAGTGTCATTATATACAAAGGAAAGAATTAATTACAATAATAAATACAGAGCTAATTTACTTACGTCATTATATACAAAGGAAGGAAATAATTACAACAGTGAATACACAGCTAATTTGTTTCTCGTTGAACCTCTGCAACACAAATTTTATTAGAATCTGGAATTTTTTAGAGGGGTTGATTAAGATATGTGCAATCAGGATTGCTTTTGGCGAATTTTTATCCTCACCATGTATTGCCGAAAAACATAATTGCAAAATTATTTGGTAAAGTAATGATAAATAAAAAAAATATTCACGCTAAACGGCAAATTATAAAAATTAGGGAAATGAAAAATTACCTATTTTTTAGTCAAAGAAAGAAAGATTTATAAAGAAGCATCATACAAATTTTTACAAAAATAATACTATTGACATTTATACACTATGAAAGTTTTTCTCACACAGCGGTACCATTCCTCCTAAAAAGATTCTTAATATGTTTTATTTGATCATTAATAATATTACTTAGAACTTTTTTGGAGATGTTACAAAAACCAGTTAACAGGTTTTAGTTTAAATCCCTTCTTTTGTCATAAAGGCTTTATTCTTTTAGATTAACAATGTATAGATCTACATAATTTATTTCTAATTGATCTGAGTTGATTTTATTTAATTTCAGGCATTCACAGTAAATACTACTGTATTCAAAGAAATTGTTAAAAGAAATATTATCAATATATCTGTAGATGAAGGAAAATTTTTTAAATCCTTGCACGGTAGTGAACTAAGAAATTTGAATTCTTTAGAAAATAAATATAGATTGCACAATTCAAGGAAAAAAAATTATTAATTCACGCCCAATGGAATACCTCTAACTTGTAGAAATAAAGTATCCTGAACTTAAACGTAATTATGGAAGAGCGAGTAGCTGAGATAGTTTTTTCAACTATTATAATCTAAAATATTAAGCATGTCTGGAAAAAATTCTGTAATTTCTAAAAGACTGTCATAAATTTCTTGAAATGGTAGATAAGTGTAGAAATTCTCGAAGTCATAGCAATTGACATAACTTATTTTAAGATTTTTAACTGCATTAATAATATGAAAGTTGCTATAAATTATGCAGCTGTAGTGTTCCCCCCCCTCCACGTTAGCTTTTTCAAAAATAAGCTTCAGATCTTCAGTTTAACTGACGAAACGTAGTCAAATCCTTATTGTGATTTCTTGTTCCACTAGCTATAAATCTGAATTTAATAGGTTGCTTATTAAATTTAAGAAGTGTTTATAAATTTGCAAATCTATTATTATCGCAATTAAATGAAAAAAAAGTCTTTTATGAAAAGCATGAAGTTTGTTAATACGTAACAGCTTTTTCTTTAAATTTCAAAATACTTACTTATATAATAGATGAATTAAGTTCTGTTTTAATTAAAGTTAAATAAAATTTTCTGCAGATGATACCAAAATTATTGCTGGTTTTGTCAAATTTTGGTGAATTTGTCTTCAGCTCAGGAATTTTCTCTTTCAAATTGCTACAAGTACTAATTCCTTTGAAACCATTAATTTTATCCAGTGCGATTTTTATTTTCTTCAGCATTTTTTGCATCCATTCCATTAGAAGTTGGAAAGCTAAGCTTAAAGCTGGAATGCAAAATGAAATCCATCCCCCCCCCCAATTTATTGCATGCTAAGTACCATAGGAACTTTCCTTATTGGCCTAAACTTAGTTCCTTTTCTCATGAATTGTATTTGGCCATGATCATAGTCTATTTCCAGATCACCAGTCATTATGTATTCATGATACGAATCTACAAAGGGGGTATATTGTGGATCTTTGCAAAATCCGGGGAGCATCTCTCCATTTTTTTTTTTTTTTTTTTTTTTTTTTTTTTAATTTTAAATTAGCAGTACAGTTAATTCGCTCAAATTATAATATATTATTTTCTTATTTTTTTGTCTGTTTAGTTTTTAATTTTAACTTTATAACAGAGAGAGACTTTCTTTATAATGAAGATATAAAAACCTATTTATTTTTAATTTATAAATCATAATGATTTTTAATGATTTAATTTTAAAAACCAGCTTTAACTATGCTTAAAGAAAATTATGCATGAAAATCTTATTTGTCTTAAAGCATTACAACTTATTAATATGACATAATAAATTTCTTTGAAAGAATTACATTTCCAAATACTGAAATTCTCAATAGGATAAATTTTTTAAGCTATTGTCATTTTAAAGAAATACATATCTGCCAAGCTTCACTTTTAATTTTTTTTTTAATTTAGAAACTAATTTCTAGATAAGCTATTAAAAAATTTATTTATTAAAAAAATTTAATAAATAGTTTAAAGTTCTTTAAAATTATAATTCTCTCATATTTAAATTTCACAGTTCCAGATTTTTTAAAATTTACTGATAGAATTCATTCCTAACAACACAGGATTTTGCTTCATATTCAAAATTTTGCAAATAAGATGTTAAAGATATTTCTGTAAAACCAAAACCCTTTTATAAATTTACATAACAGAATGAAGTAATACTTTCTGCAATTAAATTCAATATATATGCCATTTCATTTTTACATGTAAATATCTCTGAACAGCCAGCTTTGGCTGCAGCATTTTCAGAGTCTTAAGTAACTTCACAGTTTGCACCATACATACATTAAATTTATTAATAATTCTGAGAAAAAATAAAACTTACTTATTTACTATTTATAAGAAAAACTTATACCTATGTCAACCATGTTTAGAGGCAGCCCTCAAAATAGCAGCATGATGAAGTAATGTTATTAATATGTAGTACTTGCATTTTACATATTAGTTTGAGCACAAAATTGTTGATTACTTTTACAGTACAATACTATTAGAAAACTCAGTCATACCAAGTCATACTCTAAATGCGCACATACAGGAAAACATAATAGGTGTGCAACATTTCTATTTAAATTAAGACCACACTTAATTCATTTTTTTCTCATGTAAGTAAAATAATTTAAAATTTGTTTAAAAAACCAGCAGAGCGATTAAAACTCAAAAATTAACTTTCAAGTAACTTTTTAGTTTAAAGAAATGAGTGAACTTTATGAAAAAAGAATTAATGGCATCTTA